AAGTAACAAAATAATTGTTGACCATAGAAGGTTCAAATATCTGTTGCTAATTAGTTAACAATTATATCCAAGTATGATTGTCTTTTCGCAATATGTTCACTTTTAAACCTATACCACGTCTACGGTAAAAGATATACATAAATATCTCTATTAATAACCATACTGGTATATTCTGAGCTTTACAAGTAGAACTAAAGAGTTTTCTGGAGTGGAAACGCATACTTTGGTTACTAATTGCCAGTGCTCTTACTCGTTCCCCAATAAAACAACATTTTCCGGCTAGAGTGGAATTAAATTGGCTGAAAATTATCCTGCTAAGCTGTAGATTCCACCTTGGTTGCTTTTCTCCATCGAATGCGGCCTGCCGCCCACGCGTGGCTCAAATTTTCATTTGCGAATCCTGTGGCGACCTCTGAGGCCACAATTCGTGCCACAATCAACTCGGAACCCTGACTACCAAAGCACTTGGCCTGCCAAATTGTTTGCCATTCCAGCGTTCGAGGAGCCAGTAGACTCTGCCAAAGACTCGGTGCCTGCGCAATCAATTGGATTTCGGTTGTAGTTCATAAAGTGTATCTGTGCATGTCTCTGGCTGAGCTCTTCTTCCACATCCCCTTCCGTTTTCGGAGTCCTTTTGCTCCTGCTCCTCCTGCTACTTTTCATTTACGCATGCACTGAGAGAATAAGTACACTAAAATGGGTTCAAACTTGGTGCAAATATTATTTTACAATTTTTATAGGATTTCTTGTCAGCTTTGTTAATAAAATTTATCTAAAGTATGAACTAGAACTCGCCTTAAAATAAAAAGTATATTTTGTTAGACTAAAATTCGAAAAATAATTGAAAAAAATAAATACTCTTAACAAGTTCTTAAAAAATAAAATCTTAATAACTTAGTATAATTATTGTACATGATTTTTTTGTCACTAATTAAAAGCCAACATCCAAAGAAAATAAATTTTCACTGAATTGAAATTGGAATTCAATAGCGAAACTTTTTGCATTTTTATAAAAAGATTGGATTAGTACTTTACTTTTATTTTTTTGGGAGTAGATACTTGCTGATAACTCAGAGTTTCTTAAGTTCGGAGCAAATGTATTTTCAAACGTAAAATGTATTATAATTCTTATAAAAGCCACTAAGGGTACCTTGCAAGTCTTACAATTTTCACTATTTTTTTCAAATCCTTTGATGTTTTTCGCCCCGTGTAGTGAAGCTCTTTCGGTGCGGTTGTCACGGCACAGCGGATATACAAAATATTTCGTTATTGTTTGTGGCTGCTCCCATTGCCGTTGGTTTTGGCCTGGCTGAAGCCATTTACCTGTGGCATGGCTTATTTTGAAAAGCCAAAGCGCTTAAGTAGTTCACTCGAAACCAGGCCTAAAGCAGATGGGGTGCGTCCTGTTCCAGATCCTTTCCGCCTTTGTGGTCGGGTCGTCACTTCTGCTGTTTCCCGCTCAAATGCTTAGCGAAATTGCGGCCGCTTTGTGTGATTCGCCTGTTTTTCCCTGGGCTTAAGCATGGTGTTGTTTTCCCCGTGTATATCAAATATACTTGACTCTGTCAGGACCTGGCACTCACTTAATTTACTCGAGGTGTTTTGGGTGTCCCTGCCCCTTTCCCCATCCCCGAAATATCCTCGAAAATAAATCTTGCTCCTGACGTGTCGCTAAGTAAGCACTTGAAAGGCCAAGTCCCCATTGTTGCTGCTAATCTAGAGTTGCCCCGCTTTCTTTAGGGTTCAATTGGCAATTAGGCCAGGTGCAAAGCAATCGGGGTTGCAGGTTGCAGGTCGAGTGCAGGATAATTGTGGAAATAGCCGGAGGGGATAAGGGCAGGCACACTGTCCACAAGGACCTTGTGAGCTGTCAATCCGGCAGCCACTTAGGAATCAATTTGTCCAGCGAGACGTGCGTTTAATATGCAGCGAGCAGCTTCAAGGAACGGATTTCCCGGCTCCATTGAGTTGCCTGACCACACCGGACGGCTCATTCCCCAAAACACACCATCTCTCAGGCATTTATAGACTTGTCTTGGGCTCATTTATCCTGGTACACAGCAACCAACCAGAAACCCGAAACACGATATACCGAAAACCGAGAACCGAAAACCCCCCGAGCACTGCTTAATGCGGAGGTTCTGGACTCCAGGATTCCCCGCCTGCATGTGGCCATTTGTTTAGGCCCTCCGTGTGTGTGGTTGCGTCCAAATGTGTTCAATTAAGCGGTAATAAATTGTTCATTTGCTCATCGGTGCGCACGGCCATTACAGAAACAGCAGAATATCCAGGGGTTAGGGGTTGCGGGGGTAAGGATCTATGGCTGGAGGAGACATTGTCGTCACTGTAATATTTCATGGGGACCAGCAGCGCACGTTGATGCATATCCTGCCATTAGCAAGCCTTTTGCATAATACACAATTAATTTTGCACAAAGTTGTTATTTTATTAATTGCTTCCATTCGTTTATTCCCCATTCCAGATCACCCTCACCGATCACAAGTTGGTTAACCGAAGCCTAGTGTTTTGGCCTGGTCATCAATAGCTGTGGGTAGACTTTCTGACCAACGAACTAACGCCTCACCCCTTTTCTCAGTTTTCCACTTTGCCAACCCAAAAAGTGTGGCCAAGACCGCATTGACTTCAACTCAAAATATAAATTTTGTGGCTTTTGCTAACGAACGAGTGCCAAAACAGACGTTTCTTCCCCCACCCCTCAAAAAACCCCAATTCCAAGCCACGACCTCTTTTGTTTTCTTGGGGCAAAGTCACACATGTTCGCAAAGGAGTAAATGTGTCAAATGTCACACAGCCCAGAAAACCGAGAGACAATTGCCGCAATGCCAGTCAGAAGATACTTGTCGGTCGGAAGTTGTTGGCAAATGTAACATTAACAACGGATTACGGTCGCCTTTTACTTTTTACTCATTTCCTCGAAACTGCCTTGGAAAATATTGTTCTAAGATTCCTAGTTCTTAAGAATAATTTGACAAAAAATTAAGATCTAAAAGAAGACGTTAAGATACCATAAAACAGTATAACGATTAAGTAATTAAGTTATGATTAGAAGTTTATTTTAAAAAAAAATATTTATACATCTGATGATTCTGTTGATTGTTTACTAAAAAATAATATTTTAATTTATTATGTATTTAAATTATATGTTTGTTTTTATATTTCAATTCTGGATTCAAGATGACATTTTGTAACTTTTATGTTATTTTATAAGTATTTTTTTAAGGGTTCAACTAATTACGATAGTTTTATCAAGAAAAGTACGAAAATAACCCATTTTTGAGTAAAAATTTAAAAACATCGCTTTAGTTATGATCTTCTTTTTTCAGCAGACCCAAAAGGTAGTCGGAATTTTTGAGATACTCAACATCCAGTAATTGGGAGTAAGTATCCCAGTTGTGTCCCCATGCAAATGTGGTTACCTGGGAAAAACAACAGTAACGTCAACAGGACCAAAATCAATTCCCGTCGTCCCACCCAAGGTGCAACATCCCTGGAGCAAAGTCAAACGAAATTAGTTTGCTGCTCATAAAACTTTTCCACGAAGTTTGTGCTGCCCACATCCATCCACATGGCCACATCCACATCCACATCCACTGCCATCCTGAGAGTCCAGATAAACTTTGGGGGTATGTGTGCATATAATAACTTTGGCTTGCCGCCGGTGGGTGGTTATTGTGGGAATGGGAATATTTTTGGTGGAACAGCCACCGGAAATCTTGTTACCCTACATGGCTCCTCTCACCTGAGATCCGAGACTTGAGACATGAAAAGTTTTTTGCGCCTGGCTGGCCAGTGGGTCCCAGAGCTTTAATTGTATTTCAAGTTGCAGGTTGTACTTGTCCGACCCGCCCATCCACCCACACTTTTTCCGCCCCTCCTTCAATTTCCATGCGTGATAAATGGCAAAAATGGAAAATTCGTTCGTTTGCTTTTGACCCGCTCGGTTCGCTTTTGCCTCCGCGATTCGCTGTCCGCGCGGGAAGCTACGTTTCAGGGCTTTTGTCTTTCAATTTGGCCCAAAAATCTCTTTTGGCCCTGCCGACCATGTCCTTCCTTTTTTTCTTCACTCGCAATCGCTGTGTTTGCATTTGCGTGGCATAGTTTTGTAGGGCAACGCACATAGCTGGATTTAGTATCTAATCGGCTAGTCTTCGGCCTACAGTGTGGTTCTATTTCGAAAGACATGGATTTCTATACCTTTGAGTATCCCTAAACTAAACATTTAAACTCTTTAAAAAGTACGAGATTCGACAGTGGTCAATAAATATAAGAAATTACATTTCATCTTGGTTCAAAAGATTCACAAATAACATTTAATATATGAGTGATATTAAAGAGTGGTAATATTGGTTATTATGCAATATTTACCAACCCTACGAAACTGCGACATTTTTTTATTGTAGCCTTGATTACTTTGTCATCTTTATTAAACCAATTCTGGGTAGATCGTATGTTCCATATCCAGAAATTTACTTTAATAATTTACCAAACTTATGCGACGAAGATTTTTTAAACTAAAGAATTTTCAGCTTTTTTTAAAATTTTTTTGCAATACAAACAGTATCCACTGTATCGTTAGGCATTGGATAAAATTGTCTGTCCTGACAGGTATCACTGTGGATGTTTCACTCCGACCGCGCTGTATAATTGGGCTAACGTGTTCTGCGGGCGTAATTCATTGTGTTTATATGCTCTCACCCTGGCTAAGCTGGGATTGTTGAAAACTGAAAAGATTTAATTTATTTCGAGTGCGAGCGAAAAAGACTCCACTTCCCATTGGAATTGGACTTGGGTTTGATGCGCTGGTTCCGATTCGCTTTCGAATTGCATTTATTCAAACGTTTCAATTGCTTTCCGTCGGATTCAATCTTCGAGTGATTTATTGTGTTGCCTAGAACGGCGAAGAAGGATGAGGTGGATGAGTGGGTGGCAATTGGGACTGGGGGACCTGGGGATGGGAATCGTGATTGCGTTTGCCTAGGCATAACAATTATCCACTGTTTATGTAAACGAAATCAATAATTAAGTTGTGAACGAAGCCCCGAATTAGACGCATTATAAACTCGAATCCATACATTAACTGTAAACAGTTCTATAATTATGTCATTACTTGGCATAATAAATGCTGCTTGTTTCTTGAGCAAGGGTCTATAAAGGAGCTCCTGCCAACATTTATTCGATTAGTTCAACGTCGGCAAATGAAGTTCATGAAGTACGCAATTTTCTTTTACACATCGGTGGGCATTGAGCCCTATTCGGTGGCATCTCGACCCAGGAAAATCAGTCTGTGGTCCAACATCCTCTTCTGGGGCAATGTGATCAACTTGAGTTGGATTGTTCTTGGGGAATTCCTGTACCTCGGAGTTGCCCTCGCCGATGGAAAGTTTATCGAGGCGGTCACTGTAATGTCCTATATTGGATTTGTGTTTGTGGGCATGAGCAAGATGTTCTTTATATGGTGGAAAAAACCAGACCTTAGCAATTTGGTTACGGAACTGGAGCACATATATCCGGAGGGCAAGGCTGAAGAGGAGGTGTATCGGTTGGATAGTTACCTGAGATCTTGTTCCCGGATAAGTATCACCTATGCCCTGCTCTATTCTGTGCTAATCTGGACCTTCAACTTGTTCAGCATCATGCAATTCTTAGTCTACGAAAAGTGGCTCAAGATCCGAGTGGTGGGTCAGACGTTACCATATCTCATGTATTTTCCTTGGAATTGGGAGGGTAATTGGTCGTATTATGTGCTGCTAGTACTCCAAAACTTCGCAGGGCACACTTCGGCATCGGGACAGATCGCAACGGATCTTCTACTCTGTGCAGTGGCCACCCAGGTGGTCATGCACTTCGATCACTTGGCCAGGATTGTGGAGAACCACGAGTTGAGTGGGGATTGGATCCAGGACTCTAGATTTCTATCGAAAGCTGTCCAGTATCACCAGCGCATTCTTCGTCTGATGGACGTGCTCAACGAGATATTCGGGGTACCCCTTCTGCTCAACTTCATGGTCTCCACTTTCGTCATCTGCTTTGTGGGATTCCAGATGACAGTGGGTGTCCCGCCGGATATCATGATTAAACTATCGCTGTTCCTGTTTTCCTCAATGAGTCAGGTTTACTTGATTTGTCACTACGGCCAGTTGATCGCCGATGCGGTAGGGGTTAATGTTATATCATATAAGGTAACTATTAAATATTTTATTCATAATTCAGAGCTCTGGCTTGTCTCTCGCTGCTTACAAACAGAACTGGCATAAGGCTGATGTCCGCTATCGTCGAGCTCTGGTATTCTTTATAGCTCGACCTCAAAGGACAACCTATTTAAAGGCTACAATCTTTATGAATATTACAAGAGCCACTATGACTGATGTAAGATCTAGTTTGTTTTAATTATCAACTTTAAATTAAACAATATTTATGTTTTCCAGCTTCTCCAGATATCCTACAAGTTTTTTGCTCTACTGCGTACCATGTATATTAAGTAAACCACTTGAGATGAACTACATTCAACAGAACTTATTGTTTTCAAAATAAGTTAGATACATTTTAATATATTTAGTAAATTTATTTAAGTTGTGTTAGCAAAGAAATCGAAAAATTGCATTAAATCTGGGTTACAATCAAGGTTAACTTGGTCATTCTAATAAGTATCTTTAGGCAAGTCATTTTACCATGAACCTTTGCAGCTGTTAGTTCTACCAAACACGCAAACCTTTACGACATATGATTTTCCCCCAAGAGTAGTTACCTATTATATTCCAATATTATATTTATCGCATTGCAATATTATATTTTTCGCATTTGGCAAAGAGCTATAAAACCACTGAACCTTCATCAGGAAATTCATTCGCGAAGGACAACCGACTGGATTAGTAACGATAAACTCAAAGATGAAAAAGTTGATGAAGTACGCTAGTTTCTTCTACACCGGAGTGGGCATACAACCCTATGCCAAAAGGGGAGATTCCGAAAAGGACAGGCTTAGAGACAGCATTGTGTTTTGGTCCAATGTGATCAACTTGACGATGGTTGGGATTTGTGAGAGCATTTATGTTTACAGTGCCTATAAAGAAGACAAGTTTCTGGAAGCCGTCACTGTGATGTCTTACATTGGCTTCGATATTGTGGGCCTGAGTAAGATGTTCTTCATCCGATGGAAGAAGACGGCTATAACTGAGATGATGGAGGAGTTGGAGGATATATATCCAAGGGGTAAAGTGGAGGAGGAAAGATACAATCTGGAGAAGTATCTGGGCAGTTGCTCGAGGATCAGCCTAACCTATTCCTCACTGTACTCCGTTCTCATCTGGACTTTTAACTTGTTTTGTGTTATGGAGTACTGGGTCTACGAGAAGTGGCTCAACATTCGAGTTGTGGGCAAAACCTTGCCTTATCTCATGTACATTCCATGGAATTATGAGAACAGCTGGTCGTATTACCCACTGCTCTTCTCCCAGAACTTTGCAGGATATACTGCTGCTGCGGGGCAAATATCCACGGATCTGTTACTCTGTGCAGTGGCCACTCAGGTCGTAATGCACTTCGATTACCTCTCAAGTACTATGGAGCACCACAAGTTGACTGGAAATTGGCAGGAGGACTCCCGATTTCTGGCGGATTCTGTTAGGTATCACGAACGGATCCTTCGCCTTTCGGATGTGGTGAATGATATATTCGGAATTCCGCTTCTTCTCAACTTCATGGTATCCTCGTTCGTCATCTGTTTTGTGGGATTCCAGATGACTGTGGGAGTTCCTCCAGATGTGGTTATAAAGTTGTTCCTGTTTCTGTTCTCCTCAATGAGTCAGGTCTACTTGATCTGTCACTATGGACAGATGGTGGCTGATGCGGTGAGTTTGGTTTATAAAAATAAGTTCTTAACATGATATGTTATTTTATAGAGCTATGGAGTATCGGTGGCTACTTACAATCAGAACTGGAATCACGCTGATGTTCGCTATGAGCGAGCCCTAGTGATTATAATAGCTCGAGCGCAGAAAGTAACCTTTCTAAAGGCCACTATCTTTTTGGATATTACCCGGTCCACCATGACAGATGTATGTAAAGCCAGCTAATCCTTGAATTTCTATTTAATATATGATTATTATTTTTTTCAGCTACTTCAAATATCGTACAAGTTCTTTGCTCTGCTGCGCACCATGTACACCCAATAGGGTGACCAGAGAAGATCCCTAATCCCCCATCTATGTGCCCCTTAGAATGCTTTCAAAGGCTCAACGCGAACTTAATTATGCGGAGGCACGAGCACCACGCATGTCCATCGCCATCGCAACTTCGACACAGGGTAAAAAACGCAGTAATCATTTTAGCGAAAAGAGCCCCTCTGAAAAGGCAATTCTACGGCTCCACTGGAGAGCGAGGAAATATGTTGCTACAAAAGAAAATTGCAGAGTACATTTTACACTTCACTGCACACAAGTTGCGCTTATGAGTTTTCACTGCTCGTTATGCTCTAGCTAAAAAGGGGAACTTGATTTCTTGAACTTGATTGAGAACCCAATGCTTTGGAATATTTTGAAACAAATAGATTAGATGACACAAAACGATCTCAAGGGTAATGATTTTTAATGGATTTTATATCCTAGATATTATATGAAAGCGAGGATCACATATGATGTATTTAGTAATGTATTTATCTACACAGATTTTTGTATTTATGTTTGTTTAACATATATTTTTTGTGTTTTTAAGGGTATTATGTAGACTGTTTTGCTGGTGGTGTAACTTATTTTTTGCAATTTCGAGTTTGGCGTTTCAAGAAAAGTGGAGCAAGGAAAATAGAAAAGCTCCTTCTCGAGGCAGTGGACAACAAAACCGTTTGATGGCATCTAATGCAGTTCTCCCATGACGTGTGGCTGTGTGTACGCACTCAACAATATTAGCAATTTATGCGCTGAAGCGTGTCCTGTGACAGGACGATGGTGGAGTTGGAAGGGCTGGGACAGGATGTGGAAGTTTCTCACATAATATTTTCATTTTGACGAATGTCGGACATCACCTGCATAGTTATTGTTTGAGATGGGCCGCGTGCATAAAATTTATTAAAATGTATTTTTTGGCCATCGCAGTCCTCCCAATTTGATCCTGAATCCAGACCCTGTCAATTTCCCTTACTCAGAATACGACGATATTTTTTGTGTGCAAGGTTTACTTCCCTATTTATTTTGTGCTTTTTTTCCCCGACGCTGTGTGCACAGCGGCTCTTTTTGGGGATTTATTTTTCACTTTTGCGGAATTTTTGTAAAGCTCCAAATGTGCTACAATTTAATTTCTGGTCACGTTTTGGGCGATTTTCAAATAGCAACAGTTTCGGGGAAAAGTCTTTCAATATCTCACGCTGTCGTATTGCATAATTTAAGGTGCCCCGAACATGGTCACGTTTATTATCGTGTTTATATGTGTCCGCCCATCTGTCTAGCCCAAATCCATGGCCAGGACGAAGATCATATCAGGTGTAGTCCATTACAGATACTGTCACGGTTTCGGTTATCCTGGCGCCATGCAAATTATCCACGGCAGGAAAACGACTGCAAATTAGCATGCAACTGCGGCTAGCCAACGAATAATGAAATAAATTCAAATGATAAATCAATAACAAATTAGCTAATAGCCTAACAACGTAACTGAGTATAAAGCACATGATAAGGGTCGTGTAAATTTTCAAATGCATTTGTGGTCCTTGATTACCGATATATGTATATATATATTTCTGTGAAAGCAATGCAAAGCTTCTAATTGAAAAGTAATTAAATATTAACAGAATGGTATTTTAATATCATTAAATTTCAGCCTTTTTTTGGCAATTTTTCACAAGCTTATTTGTTATTATAAAATAAATTTGTGATAGATATTAAATTTCATGTTTTATAATTAAAGCCTAGAAGAGATAACATTAAAGTCTTCTTTATCAACAAAATTGTGTGCTGTTTAACAGAAAACAATACAATTTTTTGTAAGTCCATTAACTCTTTAGCTTTAACTAAATGTTTTGAGTATAAGCTTTAGTTTCGCATTCACAAGAGATTAATTTCCGAGCTGGCAATTCATTATGCAAAAGTATACACTCATTTGAATAAAACAATTATCCACTTACTTCTTGATAGCTTCGAGGGATTTCACTGCGATTTCTTTTTCATCACCTCTATATTCCATTTTAAGGCCATGAACAGCCGAATGGCTATCAACATAAACATTTTTGTCATTTATGGGCAAATATGAATTTACATTTTCGATGCAAAGTGCAAAATGCTGAATGCAGAATGCATCGTGACCAGCAGAGCGAAAGTAGAGGCTGCAAAAAATCGTTCTATCTTTTTTCGGCCTGATGCCAACGCTTTTCACCAGCTCACAATGCTTTTCATTTTCCCCTCCGCCGGCGGTTGTTAAGTCCACTTATCAAAACGTGCAAATAACTCAACTACCGGGATAGGGACAAACACGTGAGGGGTTTGGTAACTGGCAACTGGTGATGGCCAGTGATGTCCATGATGGCCATGATGACCCTGTGGAGCGTGTTCAATGGCCAATTGGCAAAAAACCGTTGCCATTGTTGCAGAAAAGCAGAGATCGAAAAAAAACTGTGACCCAATCGCTGGGCAAACTCGGTCAGTGCATTATTGTTGCCACACTGCCACACAGCCGGTGTTTTTTCAATTAGCTGCCATTAAATTGAATTCAAATATTGAAACAATATGTTGCCGAGCAGCCCCTGTATAGCTATTCCCCTCGATTTTTACCCACCAAATCGGGGGGATTTTAGTTTCGGCTTAGCGCCAATCTAAGCCCCTCTGCACCCGACCATCGTGATCTAGCGTGATTTATTGATTTTGAGAGCAGTTTTTCTTGTCAAAAGTTGACTGCGGCTCATACGCTTGAGTGTCCACAGAAAAATGCTAAAATACTAAAAATGGCCACGCGAAAATCGCACAAAAATTTGTTTCGATTTTCATTTAGTTTTTGCATCATGCTCTTTGGCCTTTCGGTGAATGTGTGAAAATCCACACGTATCCATATCTATATGGGGGAATCCTTTTCAATGGCCCACCGACTATACCATACTATATATGGAAAAGCTCTAAATGGAGACTAAAAGCCTCTAAATTAGTTTTCCAGCATTATTACTCATACGCAGTGGGGCCGCAGCGATATTTTTATGGCCTTGCATTAGGAAAATTGTATGGCATTCTATGAATATGACCCGAATCGAAAGACATTTCATTGGGGGGGAAGAAAACATTTGTTAATGGCCAGAGCTTTTTTTTGTGGCCTCTATTTTGAGCTATGATTGCCGATGATTTAAGGCTGGCTTATTGATTTCTTATAGGCCATTAATAGTGGATTGCCCCGACCAACTAATAGCATTCATACTCGAAACGATTTGTCAAAGGCGGCGACATTGGACATCCGCCTTTATCTGGATAATTGTGACAGTAATGCCAGCTATATAGTCGGGGAATCTATATGAAAGTTGTGCGCCCCAATCACTAAAACTTATCAAATGCGAAAAATGGTATAGGGGCGTAAGCAGAGCTTAGGCCATAAGTAGGTTGCTGAGACACACACAAAGCGGCCACAAAGACGCGCTGAGATAAGCGAGGGGATTTCATTTGCTCATTACTCACCAGCTTACAAGGAAGCAGAGTGGTGGGGCATTACCAGGGGCCTTTTTGCACTGGGGAAGTAATAAGAGTGCGGCTGCGAGCACATAAGAAATGCATGTGCACATAATTCATTTTTTATGCTGGATTACAGCAGCAACAAAAATGATGGCTGCCTACAGTTACGAGCGCACCTACACTTCTACAAACCGCAGCACTCACACTTCCACTCACACCACAATGCAAAACTTGAGAGAAGAACATTTAGAGGGTGTGTGTGTGTGTTTAGGTGTGTATATGGAATGGGCGCTTGTCATCGTCTGCAGCTCTTGCAGCGGAAACGGAAGCGACATCCAAGTTTATGTTAAAGTTTGATGCAAAACCCCCAAACTCGCACATACTTACACTAAGCACTTATTTCGAAAGATTTTAACAATTTGCTTTTTATTTTGAACTTTTTGAAAGCTTGCAGGTTTTTTTTTAAGGCCTGTTGTTTAAAGAGCCGGAAACGGTAAAGTTTAAAACAACCAAACTTATTATAATATTTTTATACAAATTTATCTGTGGTTCCTAACAAAAATATAATATTAATAAAGGATCCTTTTATAAACAATCACTATAAAAAAATATAATAATAAATGAGCCTTGTTCTTGAGTCACTAAATATTAAAATATTTAAGTAATTTTGATCCTTTAAACCCGAACATTTGATCGAAAAATGTTTTATATTAATATCCTCAGCTGAAAGATAAATATTTCAAATGTTTTTGTATCATTATTTCACTTAAGACTTGCTTTTAGATAACAAGGTTAAGTTACTTTATTAATCACAAAAATGCTTTTATTTTATATATTTAAAGGTAATAAATTAGAGCCCTCTTGAATGCTTTTCTCTGAGTGTAAGTAGCTCGATATATGTGCTCGGAAAAGTTTCGCTCCCCCTCCCCCGTGTTGACTTTTGTGGCTCCTGTAAGTGTTGAGACTTGCGGTGGTGTCCGTTGCATGTGTGGCGGTGTGTGTGCTGCAGGTGGAAAGGAAATTAAATCATCCTCGTGTGGCATGCACATCATTAGTATGTATAGAGGCTCCTCGGGAAAGGCCTGATGATTATGATTGCTGCTTCTGCTGGCGTTGCGGTATAAGACTGCGACACCTTTCTTACTGCCGTTGCAAATTGAGTTTGCATTAAAGTGGCAACGGCTTGATTAGTCGTTGCATACGAAATTGACTTCTTCCCTGTGACTATCCAAAGGATACCATCACTTCACTGTCCACCTGACCAAACAGCAAATGTCAAGCGAATGCTTTTCCATTGGCATCTATGGGCTCTTTGTCTATTTGTTTGCCAGCTCAAAGCGTTGAAAGTAAACAGGAACTGCTCGTCCTGCTCCAGCTGGTCTATTTGCACTCTGATGTATTTGTCGCCTAAGCTCCTCCTTATGACATTTATTTTTATTGACTGCAGTGCAGCCGGAGACAGCGGACGCAACTCCACGGAGTGCCTTCGCCCCAACTCTAAACTGTTTGTCTGTGGCGCCTCTAAGAGGCTTGGCTGCCGGCTTTAAAGCGACCTGCCAGCCGATGGCCAGGTCATTGTGTTCAGCCAAAGACTGTATATTTGCACGGAGAAAAAGCCAAGGCTAAAACTACTTCAATGCCACTCGAAAGGGGTCACTGCTTTTGGGGAACCCTGGAAAATTGGTCCTTTTACACCATCAATTTCTATACTTGCTGGCCTTGGACTAGTATCCATATATTTTTAAACAATATTAAATATTTATATTTTTGAAGATATCCAAATAATAATATTAAAATCATATAATGTTTAATAATATTTTGTAATACAAGGTGTAGGTATATTGAATTTGTAATATATTTCATAATGCGTTTTTTAATAAAATGCTCAAAATGAAAACAATCAAAGAGGTTATTAATTTTTTTTTTAAGAATAAGTAAACAAAATAAAAACTACTTGGCAGTAGAATATTATTTACCTTTTATAGTAAGTGTAAGAGATTTTGTTTGTAGAGACTATGTTTTATTATTATTATTTTAACTATTAAATAGATGTATTTAATTCATTATATAGGTAGTTTATATATAAATTAATATTTTTCATCAGAACTAAACGTTGATTAATAAAATAACTATGCGGATATCGTGTTCTCATAATAGAGTTCAAATTAAATCTTTGAAAAATATATTTATATGTTTAAAAACCATTTTCCTTAAGCAAAACCTATCGAATCGATTTATTTTTGAGACATTTGCGCTCAGTGTGGTTCGGTGAGTGCTATCAGTGCTTCTGATATGAGAAATGCCCGTGTTTGTGCTGCAAAATTCATAATTCAGTGGCAGAGACACAGGAGTGCGTGCCTCCTTCCTTAACCCCTTCCCATCCTTTCCCTTCCTCTGGTGCTCTGTTTTTGGTGCCCCTTTTGTATCCTGGTTATTTATGCATTTAACGAGCCAAAGGAGCCGGGCGAACGGAAATGAGTTGAACTTATTGCCTCGTGTACGGGAATGCAGGCAGTCGCCTTTTTCGCCCATTTTTGGTTTGTCTTCTCCATTTTTTTACCTCACCTGCTCTACCTGTGCATACCTTTTGTTGTTTAATTAGAAAAGTGTTTCGAGTGGCCTCGACCCACTGGCAGCAGCGCCAATAGATACAACAATATCAGGATATTCAGCAACAAAAGCAAGGAGTAATTTCATTTTTGTTGACAAACTCGAGGCTTTTGTGGCCTGCCACTAAGACGACCATGCCCACTCGGGCCACGCCCACAGACGGCTATCAATGAAAATGCAGGCGGACAGGACAGGCACTCCTTTTGTTGTTATTGCCATTGTTGCTGTTGTTACTGGCTGTGTTGGCTCAGTTTTAATATCATTTTCGTTCCACTCCAGTTGGCATTTTAATTTAAGTTTCATTTTCAATTTAAGACTTTGACTTGCCAGGCACTTGCATTGCGGCTGCATCATGATGGTGGTAACACCGCCCACTCCCCTCCCCTCTTTGTTCTTCTGGTTTTCCCTTCCCTTCGGAAAAACCCCCACCCATTTCCCATTTTGTCCCAGTTGTTTTGTATTTTCGCGCTTTCACGCTCGCCTTTGTCTGCGTTTGTATTTCCCGCTTCGCAGCCATTTGGCGGCCATTTTAAATTTATTATTTGTATTTGCCGTTGTGGTCTTTCCAGGCGCTTTGTTGCGGTCCACGCCCATAATCCACCCCGGCCACGCCCCCTTTTTTCCGAGCGGCCTTCTTGAGCTTGCATTTTCAATTAGAAAAACTTTGCATAGCAAATGCCTGACAATAATTGCACTTGTCGGCGAAGGGGGGCGGTGTGTCTTCTTCGGCAGGCGGGCGGGGGGCGTGGCCCTTGTGTTTTGCATAATCAGTTAACGAGGCAACGATTCTTGTTGTAATTTCTTTGAAGTAATTTATTGGCAGATTTTTAATTAAAACTTGGGCCCGGCTCAAAGGCACGGCAAGCC